GATGATGTCCTATCATTAAATAACCCATATTTTAGCCAATACTCACATCTCATATATCCCAGTGAACTTGAAATTAAGGATACTATAGATACTAAAAGGACTGCTTAATACCTTGATCTTTTCCTCAATATTGACACAGAAGGACGACTTCACACGAAAATCTATGATAACCGGGACGATTTCAACTTCCCAATTATCAATTTCCCATTTCTCAGCAGTAACATACCCTCTGCCCCTTCGTATGGTGTTTACATATCTCAGTTGATACGTTATGCTCGTGCATGTTCACACTATACGGACTTCATATACAGGAGTGTGCTCCTTACGCAGAAACTGCTCCAACAAAGTTATGAGGAGTACAGATTAAAAATGACACTCCGTAAATTTTACGGACACCATCACGAATTGGTTGATCCATACGATGTGTCTATGTCCAAACTAACTACCACGTGTTAGATTGTGTTGCTGAGTGTGAATTCGCATTGCTATACATGTAAGACGTGTCACGGTACTTTTCTATCCAAAATTCATGTATTTAGTTTTAATGTTATATTTGTTACTCTCATCGGATTTTGTCAAATGTCTTATCGTTTGTAGTTGTAAATCTTATTATTTTTTTTTTCTGTTGTATTCGTGTGTTATGGTAAAGATAATTAATCACCCAGTTCATTTATTAGATTTTAGTTTGGGTCAACTAAATTTATACGATATATTTGGTTTACAGTTTGATTTAGAAGAAACACCGACATAGCTAGATAATGCAATTAATTATCTAATTACTACCCCAATTTTATATTAATTAGTATTGTAATTTTCATTGTTATTAATAAATGTTATATGAGTATTACAAACCTAATCTTGAATTCTATCCTAATTCTATCCTATTTTGGGGAAATTTTTAGAAATTCAAATGTGACGTCACTTTGTGCGTTGATCTCTTTGGCTAACTCGGTTGTGAATTTTAATGTGCTGGTTTATGTTGTTTAATGTATCCGTTTTTATTCTGTAGTTAGTCACCACTTCGGTGTTATCATGTATATCTATTATATGGTCATTTTTATAAATTTACTGTTTGCAAAAGTATGAATTATTCTAAATACTAAGGATGTTCTTATCCAGACAAAAAACCTTAGCCGTATTTGAAACAACTTTTTGGAACTTTTGGTCCTCATTGCTCTTCAACTTTGTGCTTGTTTTGGCTTTCGAACTTTTTTGATCTGAGCGTCACTGGTTAGTCTTGTGTAGACGCAACGCGCGTCTTGCGTATTACATTTTAAACCTGGTACCTTTTGTTAGCTATTATTCGTATGTTTCTCTGTCCTATATGTTCTCCCATTTATTTGTATTGTAGTCCTGTCATGTAATGTTGTCATTTTAATGTTATATTTAACATTGCCATAAAAGCGGGAGGTTTGGCTAGACACAAAACAAGGTTCAACCCACCATTTTTTTCTTACAATGTCCTGTACCAAATCAGAAAAATGGCCATTGTTATATTATAGTTCGTTTCTGTGTGTGTTATATTTTAATGTTGTGTTTCTGTTGTGTCGTAGTTCTTCTCTTATATATGATGTGTTTCCCTCAGTTTTAGTTTGTAACCCGGATTTGTTTTTTTTTTCTCAATCGATTTATGAATTTCGAACATCGGTATACTACTGTTGCCTTTATTTAGTTTGTTCTTTTTATTATATTGAACGACCTCGTGTTCAACTTTTTAAAAAATAAATTAAACTTGGTTTGCAACTAATAACGTTAACTTATATAAATAAAATGAGGTTTGTAGTCGTTTCATATGACAGAAAAAATCATCAGAAAAGTGTAGTATTCTCGGAATCCGCGTCCGTTCACCCTGATCGTGTTCGTCCTAGTACCTGTTTGCCCTAATACCTGTTCGCCCTGGGTCCGTTCGCCCTGAGTCCGTTTGCTCTTGATTTTTATTTTATTTTGTTGTCTTGTTGTATATTATTATTTGAAAAGAGTATGTTAAAGTTTGTTGAAAATTTCGCTGAATACTTATGCTGTATTGCTGCTACCAAAAAATTATTTTCCTTTGATCTGCACTGTAGAGTACCAGGAATACAAGGTATTTGATATAAAACAACTGAAGACCATGTTATCTGCATGTATTTATCTTTATTGATAAATGTTAACAATTTCTGAACAATCATAAACAATCATAACAAGATCCAATTCGAACTTCGCATCACAAACCAGTTATGTCCTTATTTTTTACACTATTATTTTAAAGAGCACATATTTTTTTATATAGGAAATGTGTCAAAACGAACTTGAGATCAAAGATCCTAAGCTGTGTGCGAATCAAAAATCCTTTATATGTCTTACAATTCGTACATCGTTGTTTTTACTCATTCCAAACTGACAAGTTTATTTAAAAAAAAAATGTTACTTTCACTATTAATCCAACAAAGATAATAAATACAAAAATAAGTGAGCTCAAAAACATCATGATTATACCTAATCAGCATTCTAAATAGTAAAAAGTGGGAGAATCAGATATCATATGTCACCCTAAATTACAATCAACAGCCATAAAAATTAATTCTAAATAAAACAAATGTTCGAATGAAACACATTAATGCTCCAAAACAAGCCATTAATTTTTAAATATTTCCATGTTTTTTCATAATTTTGAGAATATATATTTTCTGAAATATTGATCATATAAATATCTGAATATGTTTATTAAACCTTAATACCACTATATTAATTTTGTTTCAAAGTAGGGCGAACGAACCCAGGGCGAACGGACTCTATGGGCGAACGGCCTCAGGGCGAACGGACCCAAGGCGAACATGTAATCAGGGCGAACGGACCCGATACCGTATTCTCGGGTACATCGAATTAAGCAAAACGTTTATGGTTGTTACCGTGACGGCTATCGTTTAAGAATGTTTTTCATTAAATAAACAAGCTGTTGATTATACATTGTGTGTTTATTCATAAAAAGAGACGTTACAGGACAACTGTCAATCAAGTTGAGAAATATTTGTGGAACCTGTGCATCCTTGAAGTACAAAACTATTTAGGATAGGCTTTGGTTTGGTTTTGTTTTCATATAAGTAAAGATCCAAGCTTTGCATTTTCCCTACGATTTACGACCGTCGTGAAAATAATTTCATCCCTAAATTTTTTATGGTTACAGTAATATGCAATTACTAAGGCTACGAAGTCTGTGGATATGTTTAATTTACAGTCCTTGAATTACAGAAATATGTGTGTTAGTAATAGGAAACATTTTTGAAATTTTGAAATTCATACTGTAGAAAGGAACACTTTAAGAAACAATAACACAGATACGGTACTATTCGTTTACCGTCCATCACTGTAACATTTCAGTGTGGAATAAATTGCAACGTACTCGTCTGTAAAATTAGGCGTATTGTATATTAAATTCACTATAAAAAGCGCAACGTATGTTGATCATCCAATGACCATTTTATGTAATTCTTGTTCTAATAAGTTAACTGATTATAGGCATGTAGTTTCACACAATTTCAGAGAATGAAAAGTGTAAAGACGTCAAACGCAAAGCAATTGTACTTAATATAAGGATAAACACAACATCAACAAATTGTTCGTTGGAAAGTAGAAATACCATAAAAATCTTACTTTATGTTTTGCCTCAACCAAAATGTTTAAAATTAAAAAAAAAAAGTCACCCATAGCTTTAGTCAATTCTTGCATTCATTAACGTTTACACTGCAAACGTATGAATGTTGATAAACTTTGAACATAATGCAATATTTATGAGAATGAAAGCGTATATACATCAATTTTTACTGAAAAGATAAGAGAGTTAGGACTTCATATTGAGTGAAAAGGCGCATTTGTACTGTATTTTTTTTATCTGCAACTAAATATTTCTTTTTCATTAAAGCAATGTGTGAACCAAATATAACTAGAATAAATTGCATTGACACTCTTTTAGATCAAGCGAATATTTTAATTTCACCCTTTCTTCGTACTTTTATGAATGATAAAATCTCTCATTTATGTGTAAGACAATTTAAAAAGCCGAAAAATATAAGAATGAATAAGAATGGCTCTTATTTTTTCGTGTTTTCAAAACTAGAACTGAGAATGGAAACTGGAAATGTGTTAATTAGGCAACAACCTGGTAAAAGAGCAGAATACAGTTCAAGGCCACCAATTGGTCTTCAAAGCCGTGAGAAATTCCCGCAACCGGAGCCTACCTAGCCAATTCCAACCAATTCATTCTATATTATATTACCAATAAAACAGGCGAAAATCAGATAGATTATAAAATTATATATTTTATATTTTAGCTTCTGTTTGCCTTTGTAACTTTCAATAAATCCAAATAACAACTTTTGTGCAACGGATATTTGCAACGGTTGCTTAAACGCTTAGTCGAGTACAAACAATACTGTTTGCTGTACATACGAAAAACATCCACGTGAATTAATACCAAGGTGCAGCTGGAAATCTTCCAAATGCTTTTGATAATGATTCATCAAACATACATTAACATTACGTGTATACATCATTTTTTTTCAATGGAAGCTTCTAATTTTACTACAGTTGGAACTGTAGCAGATCGTAAAAACTCTAATAAATACGTTGATACGTTATTGAATAATAAATGTAGTAAGGGTCAGGAATTTGCCGGTAATACGTTGACAAATATTTTACCCTAAGACATACACATTTCCGTATACTAGTATAGTTAAAATTGTACATTTCCTAACACTGAAATTGGACTAATTTGATTTTTTTAAGTTTCAGAACAAGGGAAAACAATCCTTAAACAATTACAGTTAACCATACACATGAAACACAACACGTATATAATTCGTAGAAAGCATCTGATCCTTTCCTACTTGACCTGATAGATTTAAATCACAAGTCATTGTGTTTATCTAAAGAAACCATATGAATACAATATTGTGAAATAATAACCCATATAAGGAGTAACACAGTTTATAATTACAGAGAATAAAGCGTGTTTCTTAAAATATAAAAATGTCCTTGAACTTGATTAAACAAAAAAGATTTATCTGTTCATATATGGAAAATGTGAGGAACCAACTATTCCCAGATACTTCGAATGTATGGATAGTGTTCGATCATAAAGGGGTAATCCTAAAGGGAATCAATACATTTATGGATGACGGTACAATCAAGGTAAGATATATCTATACAGTTCGCCAAAAGTTAAGCACCACCTATTTTTATTGCATCGAAATTTGTTTACTTTTAAAAAATCAATTATTCCTCGAAAAAGAGAAAACATTCATGTAGCAATTTTGCTATCATATACCATAAACAAAGCATAAACTTAAGTTTGGGCACTTATGAAGATTCTATGCATTTAAGTTTTGCGTTCATAGAAATAGTGTAAATTACACAAATCAAAAACCAAATTAAGTTTCCCTGTGATTTTATTTTTTTACAACAATTAATTACCCAATATCATTAACATTTTCTACAAATGATCTTTGGTATGTTCGGCAAATTTAATGTCAATATTTGAGTCAATAGGATGTGTAACCATCTCTCTTCCGGTACAGTTCCATAACACGGCGTTTAATACTCTGTACAAGCCTTCTGAACTTTAGTTGAGGAAATCTATTCCTTTCATCAACAATTGCCACTCTTAAATCGCCAAGATTTGCAAAGGTGGATCTCTACGATTGAGATTTCTGCTAATGGCATCCCAGACATGTTCGATATGGTTCAAGTATGTAGACATGGAAGGCCAAAAGATAGTGTCAATGGCTTCTTGCTCTTTGTACTCGGTTACACTCCTTGCCCTGTGTGGTCTAGCGTTGTTGTCCATGTACAAGGGTCTTGACGCAAGTGGACGATTGTCAAAATGAGGGACTACAATGTTTCTAAGCACCAAATTCCTGTATGTCTGTCCGTTCATGTTACCCTGCAGAATATGCATACTCAGCTTACAACAGTATGAGAAGCAACCCCATACTGTAACACCACCAGCACCAAATGCAGTCGTTGGGCAAATGTTGTTTTGGTCATAGGCAGTTTTATTTTCCCGCCAAATTCGTATTCTGCCGTCTATAGGTCGTAACAGAAACCGACTCTCATCTGACCAATGAATTTTTTGCCAGCTTCTCATGTTCCAGCGTCGATGGTCATTAGCCCATTGAAACCTGATTATACGGTGCCTGGCTGTTAGGGCAGGTCTCTTGACAACACGACGTGCTCTTAGGTTGCCTCTATGAATTCGACGGACCAATGTTCGAACACTAACACGACCACCTGGAGGCCAGTGATGTCTAAGCTGCGGGGCAAGGGTAAATGGGTTGGCTTTAGCACGACGAATAAGCAGTCTGTCATCACGACGGGTAGTCAAACGGGGTCTTCCAGACCTTGGTCTATCATTTACAGTTCCTGTGTCAACATGACGTTGTAAAAGTCTGACAATGACAGTGTGATTAACATTGAAATGGTTACCTATGCTCCTAGTGCTCCAACCGGCATTTGACATGCCAATAGCTTGCCAACGTTCAGCCACAGATAACTTACGCCTTGCCATATTACACAATGACTTGATGAAGGTCAAATTTCAACTGTACGCGGGACAGTAGGAAGATGATTTAAAGGTATCGAAACAGCGTATTTGTAAAAATGCAGATGACCTTCAATAAAAGTTGCTTGACGGGTTTATCGGAGTTCAATCTTTTTGGTCGTAATGCACTTTCTTATTGTATATATGTTAAAGGCAATTCATAAAACCAAACATTATTATTTTTTTTCGCAATAGTAACAAAATATTGCCAGCTATATTTAGGTGGTGCTTAACTTTTGGCGGACTGTATATATTTGTCTGTCAGAATGAAGCAGAAGTTCATAAATTAAGATATTATTCTATATTATTCAAAACATATTAAATAGCTTATTTGTGTGTTATACGCTGCTATGTTTGAATATAACTAACAATATAATATCCATTGCATGTGTGTGCATTTAAAATATGCCTACAAACAAAACAAATAATTTAATAAGTAATCATGTACTGTAAAAGGGAAACGACAATTTCTTGATATGGCAAAAATAAAAACAAAATGATAAATAAACCCGAATGTCCTATGACTCAATGTACACATGCTTAGATTATAGAAAAATTTAACAAATACAAACTCATAACACTAACTGTGCCAATTTTACTGCAACAGATGCACATTTCAACAACTAATGTCTCTTCAGTGATACTCATGGCCAAACCAAAAAATCGGTATACAAATATTATAATGGCTCGACAGGAATGAAAATGGCAATGAATTATTTTTGTGTATGGTACCATCTTGTAAGGGAAAATAACTTTGGTTCCCGAAAAAGCTTGTCATTCTTCTAATTCGATCCAAAGAGTTAACAATCTAATCAAGCTGAAAGTTGCTGCATTTTTATACATCACGCATGGTCAATCATTTTACTACAGAGGTTGGTATATATCTATTTCAACACGTGTGATAAGAATCATGATTTGCTAAACAAGTTGTTCCATGCAGTTTTTTTTTCATTAACGACTTGTGTGGGCTATGAACGATAAAAAGGCGTTATGTATGATGTCTCTACAGCCAGATTGTTTAACAAAAAAGCGTGGATATCCCAAAATTTTCCCGTGCAATGCCAAAAAGTGACTAACCTGTTTTAGATTAACTTCACAAAATACTGTACGGTCAACAGTGAACGGGAGAGCTTTTTCGCTCTCCTTTTCCTGTGACATTACCTGAAAAACTCAAAACCTTATATATGTGGTAACTTGAACCCAACCTAAGTGTGGTATTCAATATGTTGGACAGACGGGACGAGCGTATTACAAAAGAAATCAAGAACACCTTTACCGCTTTCGTAGACCTACAAAATTCAAACGTTTGATATATCAACATTTAGATAAGCATAATCACAATCTAAAATTTATTAAATTCCAACCACTTGAAACCGTTCAGAAACAACCAGGAGAATCACACAAGCAATTTGAAAAATTACGTGAAGTTCGCGAATTATTTTGGATAAAAAGACTTCAAACAGCTTATCCTCTCTATCTTAATGACAAAATATTAGGACAGGGGAACATAACTAAAACTTCAATCGATGTCATTATTATTGTCGATAAACGACTTAGAAATAAAAGGTCTCATGGCAAACGCAAAAACCGTAATCAACGTATTAAACATCGTATAAATTATACACTTGCTGATCTGTTATCTATAATAAAAAATACTGGCAGACATCAAGTATTATGCAAACTGGGTCAGATACCAATAAGTAAATTATATGCTATTTTTCTGGAGTGTGATACAATTTTTTTTTTTAGCCCAATGTATGAATACACCCGTATTATTACAGCCTTTTGTCATCATAGGCTATTTCCTAGTATCGATAAACCTGAAAATCATAAACGGTATTTTTTAAAATTAAAAAATATAAATAGAGGTATTGATTTTATTAACTTATCTAGCATCCAAAGCCAAATACCTCCATATTTTGATAATATAGAACCACCTATTATTTCGTATTCTTATAAAAAGCCCAGCAGAAGTTTGATTTTTTATTATACGTCAGTTACATCAGACGTCAATATAGAAAATAATGTTCCTTCCACTTGAGATTGTGAAACATCTAGTTTTAGATATGTTCCCTATGGTCATGTCCTTACAGGAGACCTCAACATCGTCGAAGACCGTGAGGTCATAACTTTTCTTAAGAAAGGACCGAAATATCGTCCTCCATCTAAAATAGATTGGAAACAGTGTCGTCAGATCATTAAAGACGCTCTGTCTGTCTACTGTAAAAATTGGTGTAAACTTGCAAAATCTGATAAAAAATTCTACACAGTTATTTGAATGAAATTATGAATACTGTTAATATTCGTATATCTCATTTTGAAAACAATTCTGAAATTAGTAATAGGGTCCATGATATTCCCATTTCCAGAATTAAAAATAAACTCCAAGTACTCGCAAAGCGGTTTGTGTTCGTACCGGCAGACAAAGCAGCAAATAATGTAGTGGTGGTGTGACACATATACTACACGGAAGTTCTCCAAAACGAAATTACAAATTCATCTACATTCAGGTCCGTACGCTCCACAGAGAGTCAAATTGTAAACAAGCATATCACTGCCACTACCCAGCTTAAAGCCTCTTCCGAACATGTGATAGTCCCTACTATGTACTGGTTACCTAAATTGCACAAAAAACCATTTAAATTCCGTTTCATCTCCGCATCTAGTAAGTGTTCTACTACTAATCTATCAGTGCTTCTAACTACCTCCCTTACTACTATCAAAGAACTTGTTATTAACTTTTGTTATAAAGCTTATGAAAATAATGGTATTAATTATTTTTGGAGTGTTCAAAATTCTTTAGAAGTTTTAGATAAAATACATGCTTTTGATGGTCCTTTTAATTCTGTTGACAGTTATGATTTTTCTACTCTCTATACTACACTTCCACACAATCTTATCAAGAAAAAGTTTTCATATTTAATTAAATGGTCTTTTGAAAAATCTCATTACAAATTTATTTGCTGTAACTCGTTTAAAGCCTTTTTCTGTAACGAAAAAGGAAAGTATGCTAAATACACTTACTGGAAATGTGAACATATGATTGAAGCTTTAAATTTTCTCCTGGACAACATATATGTACGTTTCGGCGATAGAGTGTATCGACAAGTAGTAGGTATTCCTATGGGCACTAACTGCGCCCCTTTAATAGCAGATTTATTCCTGTATTGCTATGAATCTCAGTATATTACCAAACTCAGTAAAGACACGTCATTGTTACATTTGGTTGATACATTCAACAATACCTTCCGTTATCTAGATGATATTTTTTCGTTAAATAATCCAGAGTTCTCTAAATATACTACCGAAATTTACCCAATAGAACTTACTTTAACTAAATCTAACATAAACAGCAGTAGTTGTCCTTTTCTGGATTTGGACATTTCAATCTCTAAAGGAAAACTCCATACGAAAATTTACGATAAAAGAGACGATTTTTCATTCCCTATTGTTAATTTTCCTTTTTTAGACGGCTATGTTCCTTTGGCTCCATCATACGGTGTTTATATATCCCAATTCGTTCGTTATGCCCGTGTGTGTAGTGATGTCATAGATTTTAACGAACGTAATCAATGCATCACTGGTAAATTATTAAATCAAAGATTTCGTTACCATAAATTACGTAAAACTTTTGCTAAGTTCTTTCATAGATACAAAGATTTGATTAGTAGATTTGGCTGTACTTGTAGAAAACTGATTAAAAACGGTATTTCACATCCTAAATTTTACGGTAATATTGTACTTAAAGCGCGGAAATCACTATGTGATCCGTGTAAACTCATCGAACCTTTAAACAAACTTATTAGTAAAGGTTATCTTACCAATGTTGTAATTAGATCTTTGAATATAGTTTACATTGGCAATAATATCGATTTTGTCATCAGCAAATTAAAACATAACTAAATTTGTATTTTTTTCAAGCGGGATGTATAAAGACACACCCACGTTCGTTTAGATCAAATAAGAGGTTAAACTCCTAACTATCCTACTGTCTGTCGATACATTTATTTTTGGCATTGCACTAGTCATGTCTTCTTTGACTGTCCATGACGTTAAAATACTAAATCCCTGGGATGTGTTTTGGTTGATTTTAGTCTCTGATGCTTGATTTTTTATTATTAATTGTTTTGGCTTTTAACTAGCTGTCAGTAACTGCGAGTACTCTCAAATCGTATTTTCTTGTTTATTTGACCTGTTGATACTAATTGTATTGCTTTTTTGTTATTTAATGTTATTCAGGGTTATACATGTATCTGGTCTATATATCAACCTTGATAAGTGTTTGGTATTACTATAAATTTTCACTTCGTACTATGAACATAAAAATTATTTATTTTGTAAAAATATTTCCTTTCTCTATTGGTACTGTACACGTATACCTAACAACAAAATTATTTTCATTTACCTGTGTTTAAAGTTATTGCAAATGGCTGATATTTTTGTTCTAGCATATTGTTTTTCTTTAATTGTTTAACATTTCTTACCGATATAACATGTTACTTTTATTATTCTTCCCTTAGTTTATTTATTTTGTATTTACATTGTGTCATAGGTCAAATTTATTTGTTCAGTGTATGTTCAATGGTGTTAATATGTCCTTTGATTGAGTTAAGCTATTTCAGTTGATATTTAATAGTGTGTCTTTCTATGTTGTGATGTTACACTATTGTTTCAGAAAATAGGTGAAGGTTTGGTACCATTAAAACGTTTAAACCCGCTGCATTTGTTTGCACCTGTCCTAAGTCAGGAATCTGATGTTCAGTAGTTGTCGTTTGTTGATGTGGTTCATAAGTGTTTCTCGTTTCTCGTTTTTTATATAGATTAGATCGTTGGTTTTCCCGTTTGAATGGTTTTACACTAGTAATTGTTTGGGGCCCTTTATAGCTTACTGTTCGGTGTGAGCCAAGGCTCCGTGTTGAAGACCGTACTGTGACCTATAATGGTTTCCTTTATAAATTTTGACTTGGATGGAGAGTTGTTTCATTGGCACTCATACCACATCTTCTTATATCTAGTTATCGAGATTTTGTGTTTTTGAATTGGTATATATGTGTACATTGCAATTTAGCAGATATGTTATTCCACGTTCTGTCATTTTCGTTCACTTTAAATCACTGCGCAGTTACATTATACATTTTTGCACTTTTTAAGGTGTTATCATGGATTGGTATATCATCTATGGCAACGTACAGATACTATTTCATGAAGGAAAGAAGTGATAAAACCACGGTAACTAAAATCATAACAGAAGACAAAGAAACATTAACCGAAACGATAACAAACGACAAAGAAACGTTAACCGAATGGATAACAAATAACAAGGAAACATTAACTGAATGGGAAGGACAAACGGACTTTAACAAATACATGAGGTACACATGTAACTTATTGTTTATACTTTAAATGAAATGTTATGCATAAGATAACTAGAAATACTTGTATTTTCTATCATTCAATATTTTCTACGACGAATCGATTTTATAAAAAAAAACAACAGAAATTTATATATCTTCTTTCAATCTCGTATAGCTTTTGCTCAAAACATAAAAATATCAACCGACTGACAGTTTCGGCTTGGTTGACTTATTTATTGACCTTGGTATGTTGATCATGTTGCTATTTCTTGTACAACATGTACAAGACACTCGTAGTAGTACTATTTACATACAAAAACAATACTATTTGAGCCTTTGTCCACAGGAACAAAATCATATTCATCGTAGGAGATGATAGACACTTCGAAGCTTCTTTTTCTCCGAATACGGACTTTGGTCGATCATTTACAACGTTTTTTAACTTTTGGATTCAAAGTGTTATCAGAGACTTGATGGCTTTAGCCAATTCTGACAAGTGATGACAATATAAAGAGGTTCCTGAAGCTTATAGAATGTTTTAACAATTATTCATTGCAATATTTTACTCGCATTACTTCAATTACACCCAGACCTAAGTATAATCTATAACGATATAAAATTTGTATTTATACATTTTAATGTGGTGTTTTCTTATTATTTTCGGATGAATTTGAGAACTCGCTAACAAATAAAGTATGTATATTTTTGACAACCGAATTAGCACAAAATTTAGCACAAACTTTAGTACCATTTTGTCTTTTTGTTTTGGCATGCGAGGCGTTCAGTTAAAAACAAATTGTTGGACAACTTTTCCCATGTCATTCCTGTAAAGTTGGGTTTTTTTTTCTGTTAATGTCGTCCAATAATTATACTGGAAGCAAAACCCTTCAATCATTTAAGTATACAATTTCATATATACGAGTCATGAAATGGAAAACAAATTAATGTAAAACAATTTAAAAAAAAACTAGCATAAGTGCTACACATAGCTATAGCTAGATAGTCATTTTTCAAACAAATACTCTTACAAATGCTCTATATGCAATTTTGCATCTTCTCATTGATTCAAATTTCAAGAAAAAGAACAACTTTTTCTTAGAATCCACATTGTCCTTTCAATGTACAAACCAGCATATATGTAGGGAGAGGAGATTTGGGACGTTGAATAAAACTTAACGCCAGTATTTTGAACCGAAAACCAATGAACCAAATCATCAGTTCTTAGCTTGATAAAATGTGTCACTAGTTTTAAAGGTACGGTTTTTTACAATTCTAGTAATACTATTGTTTACATTTAGGTATTAATCATCCAATGTTTGTTCAGTTAAGTTATATTTTCATTACAGAGCATTGTTTGAACCAGGTCAACCATCTGCTTTTGATGTAACTAAAGAGACGATTGAACTACGATGGGATGTACCCAATGTTGGAGTACACTTTGTACAACATTACAAAGTTCACTGCATGAACACTCACACCAGTTCTACTATCTACTATACCACAGAGGGAAACTATTGCAATTATACCGTTAATAACTTACAGCCTGACACCGAGTATGAATTTACAATTCAGACAATCAAAAATAATGGAAGTGAAGGACCTTGCAGTTTAGCTTGTAAAAAGTCAACCCTTGCTAATTTGAGATACTATTAGGGTACTATGACAAAATTCAATGTTTGGGAACTTTAATTCTCGAGCATGTCATGCTCTATTATTTTTAATCTCTTGTAAATTGTTACATACTAAATTTCAAATGACAAACTGTATTTTACTGTGATATTCTCAAATATTTTCATCAAACGGATAAGCTATCAAAGTAATTGAACAACCTGATTTCCAACATTTGATCATATACAGCATATTTGTCCGTATTAATGATTAAAAAGAAAAAAATATATCCATGCAATTTTCCCCTCTCAAAACACCAAGCACACTATTTGCAATCATACTACGTCTTCTTTTTTTATATTTACTTCATAAACAGCTATATGAAGATATGTTTAAACTGATATATAATCAAATGAAAAGGATTCGTCATAAAAGTTCTCAACGTGGTCTTCACCTTTGATTTCATTATATAACTGACATGTATAAATGCATTTTCTTTCATCAGATTCTTCTACATGTCTTTTTTTATATGTTTGATGGTTTCTTTTTCCCTTTTCCTTGAGTGTTTCGTGGACTACTGTTGTCTGTTCGATATTATCACCTTTCGTCATGATAAGGCATGTCCTTTGCCATGTTTATTTTGATAGACCGTTCGAATTTGTTTGCGAAAGTAAATCATAAATCGACGTGTCTATGTTTTATCTGTCAGTATTATAGCTTGCTTATACTTATGCGTATAAGATAGTTCATTATGTCCTATAATATGATACAGTAGAACCTATATAAACTGGCCGGCTATGGGACTATGAAAAAGGGCCGTTTCAGACAGTGTGTCGGTTTATTCAGGTTTCCGCGTTGACAGGAAGTTATTGACTTGTGACGTCAGATAATTTGCATGTAAAAGTTCTGTCTCATTGTAAATTGTAAACTAATAAATACAAATGCAGTAATAATCTATTTACTAAATTAGTTATATCATGGTTTGTTAGGAAATATTGTGACATGAACATTACAAGTGTTCCCTGCCTTTTCATCATTTAACTACGTACGATCTTTGTTTTGAGTCTTCGTATTCATTGGCTTTAAAAATTTCAGAAATTGGTTGTCCTCGTATGTCAAATCGACCTCGGAAGCATCAGTCACCGACTCGTCAGTTTCATTTTCACTTTGAGTTCAGTGTTTTCATTTGCATCAGAATCCTCGCGTTGTTTAAATTGTTCAACGAGAGTTTCGTTTTACTTCCATCGTTCATTTCCTACGTTGAGGGGCGTAAAGAGGGGAGGGTATCTGCGAGGAAGAACGTGATATACAATTGCCATTTCACGATAAACGAACAATTAAAAATTGCTTGCACGTTGATTTTTTTACCGATTTCACGAAACACGGTGAATAATGAACCTTTTTTACGGCTGCACGTGAAATAAAAATGGCAAAACACGTTGCACGAAAATAACCCTTTACCACCCTCTACGTTGGTATACCGATTAAAAAAATGAATTTTATCAAAGGAATTTTCAAAGATAGAAACGTTTACTGAATTAGTTAGAAAAGACAAAGAAAAAGTAACAGGATGAGTAAGAGAAGAAAACAATAAATGTTATCCTAATAGACAGGAAAAGACAAAAAAAAACCAATACATTTGCAAATCAACAGACTATCAAATGAGAAGGACCTTAACCAAATCGAAAGAAAATGATTACATTTTTATTTCGTAAAAGAAGGTAATTTTTCTAATCTTTAGTTACAAAAATTTAATTTCAAATACGTCTGTCCCGTCAAAATTGATCGTAAGTGCTAAATTAAACTGTTAGTTTATATCATAATTTTGTTTGTAATGTTGTGATTTCATTAAATAAAACAATCTTTTTTTTTTAACTGTGATTCCTTTTTTTCATTGAAAAATTTTACCTTAATACAAATAAGAGGATTTTGTATGTTTGTCAATGACACAACAATCCATAAAGAACTTATATATTGCATAGATCTGATATTGACCCTGAACACAAAAACTGCTTTCAAAAGGATTGGGTTGGGTCAGTTATTTTTGACAGTATCCGCATGTTTATACATACATTGTACCCAATTAATTATTAGATTGAAATAGCCAACTACAATAATAGTGAAATGGTTTGTGTCATACATGTATGATATTAATATTGTATGGTAACATTTTTAAAAGGGAACAATACGTTTTGTTTTGCCGTAATAGTATTCAATTAGATTTATATATGTGTACACAATGACTTCTTACTTAAAAGAAATTACTTTAGTTTTAATGCTTTCTTTTTACAAACTAATTAAACTGATTAATAAAAAAAGGCAAATATCATAAAATATGCACTTCTAAACAAACTAAATTCAAATGTCTAATTCGACATAAGTGTATTCAAATAGATATTTATGTTACCACATTAAATAGCTTTGGTGAATGAATTGCGTACCCAACATATACATGTCAAAAGGTAAAAGTAAAGTACACGTACATACAATTTGTAAGTCCACCGTTACAGTTGTTATCTCATTCATTGGAACAATTTTAGGCCTTCAAAACTGAATATAATTTAAGAGAAAAGAGGATCTGACTGTAATATTACAGGTAACCAGAGTGAGTGTCATTATTCTTATCTAAATCCAGTATATTTATAGAATTTTAATGAATGAAAACACTAAGAATAACACATTTCTCAGAATTTTATTCCAATTGAATATAATTTGTAAACATCTCATGTTCCATTAACTCCTCAAAATTAATGTGTATGTTTAGAAAATAACATACTTTTTTTGAACCATTGATTGTGTATAGTTCTATCAGGTATTGCATTTACTGCAATCACAAATTATCATGATAGACTCTGCAGTGAAGGTAAGGTATTTCATTATTTGTTTGACAGAATCCAAACAAAGTATAAACGTTTATATACATGTATTGAAATTTTAAATGAATAGTAAAATTGAGAATGGAATTGAGTAATGTGTCAAAGAGACAACAACCCGACCAAAGAGCAGAAAACAGCCGAAGGCCACCAATTGGTCTTCATCACAGCAAGAAATCCCGCATCCGCAGGCGGGCTTCAGCTGGCCCCTAAACAAAAATGTGTACTAGTTCAGTGAAAATTGACGTCATACTTAACTCAAAAACATATAAATGAACTAAATTTAAAAATCATACAAGACTAACAAAGGCCAGAGGATCCTGACTTGGGACGGGCGCAAAAATGCGGCGGTGTTAAACATGTTTTGTGAGATCTAAACCCTCCCCCTATACCTCTAGCCAATGTAGAATAAACAAACACACAGCAATACGCACAGTAAAACTCAGTTTAAAAGAAGTCCGAGTCCGAAGTCAGAATAGGTAACAAAAGAAACTAAGCAAAATGACAATGATACATAAATTAACCAAGGACTACTGGCAGTTAATGACATGCCAGCTCCAGACCTCAATTAATCTGATCGAAAGATAATGTCTTCATCATATGAAAATCAAGCACAATCTCTCCCGTTAGGGGGTAAGTATCATATCATCATAAAATATATGAGAAGAACATAACCCGTACCATGCCATTAATTGGTTTTAGAATACATGTGTTTATTACCGATGCAAATACCCTATGAGTGAATCAATATTAATACCAAAATATTCCATCTTTAATGACCCGACAACATTATCGTAACTATATCTCTTCTGAATAAGTCTTTGTACAGGTTTGGTTAGCTTTTGAGGTGAATGCCGACATCTTTGTGCTTTGTATAGAATATTATCATAAAAGATTGGATGTGAAATACCTGGACGTATAAGATGTCTGCATGTTGTTTTATATTTACGAATGATGTTCTTGTACCGATGATAAGGTTAATTATAGTTATACTAATTATTTTATATATAAAAATGTAAGGAGATGTGATATGATTGTCAATGGACAATTATCCATCAGAATCCAAGTGCCGTGGATGTATGCAAACATAGGTCACTGTACGGCCTTCAACAATGAGCAAAATCAATACCATAGAGAACAATATTAAAGGACTCGATTTGATGTGAAATAATCAAAACGAGAAAACCGATGATCTGATATATTCATGAAAAAAAAAAACGAAACACATTTATGACAAATAGCAACCAATGCAAACCACGAAATACCAGATTTCTGACTTGGAAAAGGTACACATAGAATGTGACAGGGTTAAACAATTGTATGCAGAATATACTATAAGTCAAAGACAAACGGAAAACTCCATTGCAAAAAACAAAAACAAAAAACGAAAAATGCAACAGTGTCAAGTTGGGATTGGGACGATACGAATGTTACTCCATTTTCCGGTGAAGAGAGGTACCTAATAGATTTTTGTTTTATTTCAATGAATCGTTTATCATTGAACGTAGGGACAAATGAACATTAATCAACTGTATACTGTTTCAATGCGGACATTTATATCTAGGTTATAAAGTACTTACAGTTATCCTTAATTCGTATACTTGATCTATAATCGGTGAAAAATGAAAATTAATGTAGGTCTTTGCTAGGATAAACGAAATTTTTTAACGAAATTTTTTTAATTTTTTTTTTTACCTCTAACACGACAAAAATAATTGTTTCACCCCTGATCGAGCAGTATATAATGTACATGTCTGTGTAAGGTTGTTTCAGTAATCATACATGTAGTGAAGCCTAAGAAAAGTCTTATAACGATTCAAAGCAGATTTGAAATTTTTAAAAGGGTTTGGATATCCCCTTTGTGACTTTGGCCTTTTATCCCCTGTAAACAAATGGTTGAAAGTCATTTCAAGTTCAGAACTTTTTGATTATAGTTAAAACTAAAATAAGTCGTGTTGTTAAGGATTATTTAAGCCAGTCAAACTTAATGAGACGCAAAACAATAGCAAAGAAACGTTGCTTAGGTCCAATTATTTGCAGATTGTTTATTTTCATCCAAAACATACAAGTATCTAGAACATAATCATCTTTATCATGTTTATGCACACCGCACATGCTCATGCATTTCATCTAAACACAAGTTAATGATCAGGTGAATTTCGTCATAAAAGGGAATTTGAAACTGGTATCATAAAAACGTACTATTAAATCGTATTTGAATCTATCAACGACATGTGGTGATAATTATTTTTTTTTTCGTTCATGATTTTTTCTAACAGGTACTCAAATTTTACTCAGTAATAAATAATAATGTATTCACGGTTTCTTCAATGGTCATCGATTAAAATTGCCAACTTCATCAACTAAACTTAAGGTACAAAATGTTGATTCATTGTATACCGCCATCTTGGATTGTACAATATCAGTACATAATTGATCTAGTTCTTTGCCTAAATCTACAAATTTTGAGACAGATTTGCAATTGATGTGTAAGACTGTTTATTTGTATAAAGAAAAATAAGTGATTTATTGCATTATCCAAAATGTTTAAACGAATACCAAATATTTGTTTTTTTAGAATCAATTTTTGAACTTGGCCATTTAAGAAGGGAGTTTTACTTTGATAGTAAAAATGTTATACTGGGTTGATAGTGAAATTTTCATTTTTTACTTGTAGAAAGAAAACAAGTTCGGTGACACCATTTTTTCTTTCTATCTTCTTAAAGCATATTATAAGACCTATATTTTCATTTTTTATATAAAATTCTATCTCAAAGATTTCTTTTTATTCACAAAAATTAGTTTTTTCACGATCAATCTATGCAAATTTGGACAATTTTGCACGATTTGTTGTTTGCAAAATAGCACAGTAACCCATCCTTTTCATTGTATTTTTGAAAAAAAGCATTGTAAATAAAATTGAGAATGGAAATGGGGAATGTGTCAAAGAGAAAACAACCCGACCAACGAGCAGAAAAAATATCAAAATTTTAGATAAATATTCCTAAAGTAATTAACATAGAGAAGTTCTCGCTCGGACACACACTCCATTATCTTGTATACTATAAGAGCATAAACCTGAAGCAGGTAAAATCTTTATTTTGGCAAAGTATAAAAAAATTCTATCTGAGAAATATATATGGACGATCCACCTTAAAAGTTTGCTTTTAAACTTCTGATAAATTATGAAAAAAATCAGAAAACTAACGTTTGATAAAAGCTGTATTGTGATTAAATGTTAGTTATCTTGATGTGATGTGTTGCTACTTTTAGATAATATCCGTTTGGTGCATTTCGTTTCTAACGGATTTTAACACGGCCATCAGATGTAAAATTGTATTTCGATTTGCCAATTTACAAACTTCCTTTCCTCTGAACCTTCAAAGTTAAATGCTTCGAAGTTAACTGTGCGGCAAGTCTTATGTTGGTGTCATATAGTTTCAATAGAAAACATTAGAAAGTCGACTTTTGTTGGGTTTTTTTTTTTATCCCAGAACATTTTGCAATTGTCACTGATTATATAAACTTGGCAGGAATACTATAATGTATTAAATGTATATTATAAAATCTTCATTGCATTCCGATAGGATGAAAACAATGACGGCATGAAGCAATTTGATGTAGTAAAATAATAACCGATTAAAGTTAGCATAACCACTTGGTTGATCCCTCTCTTGTTAAATTTTAGTTCCATTACACAAATTGCTCTGTACTTCAATTATGTTTTGAGACATGATTTGTCGAATTCCGCATTTTCTGCGATACAACTGGTACCGTTCAATGTTATTGCTTCTGAATTTCAAACTTTCAAAGGTCTTCTCTAGGGGACGTGGCAGAACTCATCCTTGTGTGATGACACGGTTGAAAGTATTGCGGCATACGTAGCTCAAAGTTATGAAAAATCACATGTTGATTGTCGTATCTCACACTTTGGATTATGTTAACTAATTTTATAATAAAACATGACAGAAATAATGTATGGCAGGCCCTCGGAAAATTACC